GCTCGCCAGAGTCCAGGGGCTCGACCCTGGAGTGGCCGTGAGCATGCCACTGCACTCCAGCCGGGCAACAGAATGAGACTCCAACTCAAAAATATAAATAAATAAAATGAAATAAAAACAAAACTATTTTGAAGGCTGTCTTTATCCAATCCTGTCCTCAAAACTGGACTCTAAATCTTTTTTTTTTTAAATTGGGGTCTCACTCTGTCACCCAGGCTGAAATGCAGTGGCATGATGATGGCTCACCACAGCCTTGACCTTCTGAGCTCAGGCGATTCTTCCACTTTAGCCTCCTGAGTAGCGGGGACTATAAGTGAACACCACCACATCCAGCTAATTTTTTGATTTTTTTGGTAGAGACGTGGTCTTGCTAGGCTGGTCTTGAACTCCTGGGTTCAAGCGATTCTCCTGCCTCAGCCTTCCAAAGTACTGGGATTACAGGTGTGAGCTGCTGTGCCTGGCGAGATTCTATTACTATTATTATTATTATAGTCAAGGTCTCACTCTCTTGCCCAGGCTGAAGTGCAGTGGCATGATCACGGCTCACCAAGCTTCAACCTTCTGGGCTCAGGCAATCCTTCCACTTCAGCCTCCTGAACAGTTGGGACTACAGGTGCATTCCACCACACCCAGCTAATTGTTTTACTTTTTATTTATTTAGCTTTTTGAGTCAGAGTCTCACTCTGTTGCCCAGGCTGGAGTGCAGTGGCATGCTCACAGTCACTGCAGCCTCAACCTGCTGGGCTCAGGTGATCCTTCCACCTCAGCCTTCCAAGTAGCTGGAACCACAGGCACAGGTCACCATGCCTGGCTAATTTTTTGATTTATTGTAGAGATAAGGTCTCGCCAAGTTGCCCAGGCTGGTCTCGAACCCCTGGGCTCAGACAATCCTCTTGCCTCAGCCTCCCAAAATGCTGAGATTTCAGGCGTGAGTCACTGCACCCAGCATTTTTTTATTTTTTATAAAGACAAACTCTCACTATATTGCCCAGGCTGGTCTTGAACTCCTGGGGTCAAGCAATCCTCCTGCCTCAGCCTCCCAAATCCCAATCTCAGCTGAGATTACAGGCGTGAGCCATCGTGTCCAGTCTAAATCTTTAGTTCACTTTAAACATTCACATAATTATTAACACTACTTTGAAATTCTCTCTTCTATCCCTCTATCTTGTGACCTCTGACATGAGGTCATGACATGATGTCATAATTCACCTCCTGCTCTGACTTTATGAGAATTTCCTAAGCTGGTTCCTGGGCTCTGTCACTTTTTGCACCTATAAGAAGTCTCTGGAAGGTCTCTGGTCTCACCTCTCTGAACACTCTAAGGTAGGGTTGCCATGCATTTTGCTCTTGGTTTTATTCTTTTAGCTAGACATTATATTAGTGAATGGCTTCAGAGACTCGTCTTCCTTGTCATGCATTTTTAAAAGGTATGTTTCTGGGTTTGGTATCTATTACAAGGGTAGTTAGGTTTCTGTTCTGTGGCAATCAAGATTTATAGTACAGAAAATTAGGAGTGATTATTTGTATTTCAAGTTTTCTCTCTATGGCAGCCAGGTAAGCCCTTGGGTGCCCTGATTTACTGTCTTGGTTTTTTCCTCTCTCCTGGGTATAGGACCAACTACATAATTTGCAGAGCCCAGGGCAAAATAAAAATGCAACCTCTTGTTAAAAAATTATCAAGAATTTCAAGATGGCAGCCACACAGCATCAAATTAAGAGCAGGGCCTTTTAAAGCCTGGGGCCCTCCTAAATACAGGGCCCAGGATGCAGGCCCACAAAGTTAATCCTGCCTGGAAGGCAATGGCCAGGAAGAGCTCTAGAATCCTGTAGGTTGGGTCAGAGTCCTTAGCTCTGCAAGTTACTCTTTTGGAGGAAGAAATATACAATGAGGAGGACACAGGAGCTGATTAGCTCATTAGAGGCACATTAGTTAGATGGTTTTCAGGAGCAGGAAACATTTCTGTATTCCACTTAAGTGCTGAATACAGTGCTTTCTTTGCACCTAAAATTTTTTTTAATTGAGATATAACTCACACAATAAAATTAACCCTTTAAAAATACACAATCCAGTGGTTTCTAGTACACTCACAAAGTTATACGCCTACCATTACTCTCTAATCCTCTCAAAATCCTATGCCCGTTAACAGTTACTTCACATTTCCTGCTGCCTCAACTCCCGGCAGCCACTAATCTACCTTCTGTCTGTATGGATTTGCCTATTCTGGACATTTCATATAAATGAAAAATATGTGGCTTTTTGTGTCTGACTTCTTTCACTTGGCATGTTTTAAAGGTTCATTCATTTGTAGCATGTATCAGTACTTTGTTCTTTTTTATAGCTGAATAATATCCCGTTGTATGACAATACCATGTTTTGTTTACCCATTCATTCACTGATGGACATTTTGACTATTGTGAATACTGCTACTGTATTACTGTATAAACATTCGTGTACAATTTTTTTGTACAAACATGTTTTTTGTTTTGTTTTGTTTTTTAGTTGAAGTCTCACTCTACCACCCAGGCAGGAGTGCAGTGGCATGCTCACAGCTACTGTAGCCTCAACCTGCTGAGCTCAGGTGATCCTTCTGCCTCCGTCTTCCAAGTAGCTGGAACTACAGGCCCACACAACCACACCCGATTAATTTTTTGATTTATTGTAGAGATGAGGTCTCACCAAGTTGGCCAGGCTGGTCTCAAACCCATGGGCTTAGGCAATCCTCTCACCTGAGCCTCCCAAAGTGCTGGGATTATAGGCATGAGTCACTGCGCCCAGCCCTTTACCCATTTTTAAATGAGATTGTCTTCAGTTGTTGAGTTGCAGGAGGTCTTTGTATATTTTGGGTAGTAAACATTTATCAGATATATATGATTTTGTGGGGGCTAAGATCCTTGGTCCCCTAATGATTGTTGTAAAATGATTGACATGAGGCAGATTAACTAATAGGAGAAAAGTTTATTTAATGTGTATACATAGGCACCTTTAGAATGAAGACTTAAAGCTGTAGAGAAAATTTTTTATGTTTAGGTTTAAAAAAGTATATATAGTCATGTGGAAATAAGATTGGATAAAAAGGGTATGCTCCAATCAATGCTAATAGACCGAGTGGGGACACCCAGCAAGACCTGTCTGTCTGGATTAGTTTGGCTTCTCTGGGCAGCATTCCTTCCTTCTGGGCATGGGCGGGGCCCTCTCTGGAATGAGACTCTTATGACCCAGTCAGATAAGGTATGTCAGGTAATTTTTTTAATGGCCAGTTTTTATATAGAAAGGTGGAAGGAAATTAGATGAATATTTTTAGGCTTTTTGGCTGGCTTTGGGGAAAAGAGGCTCTGGGTTCTATGAACCACCTTGGGGAAGAGGGCTTTTAGTGTTTATAGCTAGCCTCAGGGGAGAATGGGACTGTGAGACAGCAGGGCAGCAGAAGGTTAGAGGAAAACTTATTTTTGAGGTTGTTGCTGAGGCCTTCATTTCAAGGTACTGTTTTTTGAGTCCCAACAATAGTCAGATATTTTCTTCTAGTCAATGGGTTGTCTTTTCACTTTCTTGATCGTGTCCTTGGAAGCACAGAAGTTTTTAATTTCGATGTAACCAATTTGTGTATTTTTTCTTTTGTTGCTTAGGCTTTTGGTGTCACATCTAGGAAACTATTGCTTAATCCAAATTCATGAATATTTCCTCCTACATTTTCTTCTAAAATTTTATAGTTTTAGTTGTTACATTTAGGCCTTAGACCTGGTTTTAGTTAATTTTTTAATACAGTGTGAGATAGGGGCATGTAATTTTAATTCCTGCTCAGCCTGAGGATAATCATGTGACCATCGGTAAGTTCTTGAACCTGTCTCAATTTCTTTATTTATACAGTGGAAATAACAGATGGTACCTAAATCATAGATTATAGTGAGGATAACGGGAAAATGTGCATAAAACACTTAGCAGGCCGGGCTCAGTGGCTCAGAGGCTCAGCCTGCAATCCCAGCACTTTGGAAGACCGAGGCGTGTGGACTGCCTGAGCCCGCGGGTTCGAGACCAGCCCGGGCAACTTGGCGAGACCGCGTCTCTACAATAAACCAAAACTTAGCCGGGCGTGGTAGCGCGCGCCTGTAGTTCCGGCTACTTGGAAGGATCGCCGGAGTCCAGCAGGTGGACGCTACGGTGGCTGTGAGCGTGCCACTGCGCTCTAGCCTGGGCGACGGAGTGAGACTCCAACTCAAAAAACAAAACAAAAAACACTTAACAGAGTGCCTGAAGCACAATAAATGGGGTAGCCGTTATGTTATAATATGAGCAATGAACGAATACTTTCCTAGTGGAGGCGCCAGAAAGAAGGGCAGCATCCCTGAACAGGTATTGGGGATGGGGGAGGCTTGCTTGGCCACTTAGAGAAGCAGGTCTGGGATTGTTATGGGAGTCCCTGCCCCAGGTAGCCGTGGCCTTAAGATCTCCTCTGGGGATTGGTCACATTTCGAATTCCCGGGCCCCATCAGAGTTGCAGAAAGGAGCCCCTAGC